AAAACAGTTGTCAACTACGAACATTGACTAATGAAACCGAGATTAATTAAAGGATAAGGCTCTCGTCGTTGGGCCATCCCTCAAGGATGCACCAAGCATTCGACTTCACCAAGCATCGTTAGAAGTGACAGTACATGGCTGGCCTTCATACTGACTGGTGGTAGCCCACCGATGTATCGAATCTGTGCTGCTATTCCCCTAGACAGGGCTGACACCAATTTACCGGTGATGGAAGGCATGGTTTGACGTATAAGCTAGGCATGCGAAATCGAACCCATTTGAACTGCAAGGCACCTCAAACCACCTCTCTACACGCGCTCTCAAAACGGAGATAGTGAGCTGAAATTATACGGTCAGCGAACTCTAAGAATCGCCTTCATGGTATTCTCTTTTTTTAACACACGAGTGCATTTCAATCCCTGTTCAGCACTTTATTGCAAAAGCAGGAAACGAAACAAGAAGAGGCCATCAAACGTCTTCTCTTCGGTTTGAGTCTGCCACGTCGAAGGTTACCATTTCTCGAAGAGAGATCAGTGAGATATATTCAGTCACTCCCACCTTTTATTAAGATAAGCTGCACATAAGAAAGCAAAGTTTAAGAACGACTGTTGAACTTTTCTTTTACGTGATAAGAACAAATTGGTGGATTGAACCATTGATATCAGAATGTTGTATAAATTCGCTCGATCACACAAAAATGTAATGAAAAGAAAAACCTAGGCACAACACTGTATAATTCTTCAGCATGAATTGAAACAGTGAAGCAACGGTTCGTTGTGAAACTGGCGAAAACCAGTAAGGAAATTCCCTACGCTTTGGTCAAATCCTGTAAAAATCATTTTATCAATCGCAGAAAGTCTCAGCTTGGCATTAAATACCAAACTGCTGAGAGCAATATAATCCAAGCAGGTAGCACAGTGGTAGTGACGCCGTTCATCACAAATACCGTGTTGCTTCAATCATGCGTGGTACTCACCATGCCTCTCATCTCTCTGGGGTCGCGAAATTACTACCAGGTTTATCCGGGAGCACTTCGTTGCCATTAATCCATCTGGGACCGCTGTAGCCCGGCTATCCCAGGACTCCAGTGAAAATCGCCTCGCCCATCATTCAACGACATTTATAAGGAATACGATAAGCCTGGACAAGCAGCTGAGCCCACACGTGAAAAGTTCGAAGAGCTTCGTGGATGATGCATGCGAGGAAATGAAATCGAATGCAAGAAGTGCGGAAATCCGCACATTCCCTAAAAGATGAAGCATCTGCGAAACGAATCGACTGCTGGGCTTGCGAATACTTGAGTAGAACTCATTCTTTAGAAACTTGAACCCTTAAAAGAAGGTGTTAATGAGAAATAGATAACCTTCTGGTATTCCATTCACGCCTAATAAAATAGATATTTCAAATGCTCCAGTCATGTGGTGTACAAGAGTGAACGGTTTAGCTAGACAACTCAGTAGAAGGACGAACGATTCGATGCACTCACAAGAACATCGGGAGAAAGAATGAGCAGAAAGGATGAAAAATGAATAAAAAAGAAAAAGAGGATAAAGAATACTGGGATCTCTACCCACCTATTCTACGTCATAATACTTCTTGCTTTAGAATACGCCTCGAAAACCTGAAGACTACATAAGTAATGGATAAAGGGTCGCTAAGCACTGCTCAACACGTAATATTGAACCCAGAGGCTGATGCCATCTGGTGGTGTCTGGCTTGAAAGTGTGAGAGAAGATCTCAACTTCTATCCTACTTCGACTAGCAAAAACGACACTATTGTATACTCTATGATTTCGTAGCGGGCCTCACAACATACCTCCTAGTGATATGAGATGCAGAGTGCAAGCTCAAAGTAGAATGACCACCGGCATTAGGGTCACATTTCTTCACGAACGTCTTACTTGAAAGATTTGATTCTGTTCAAGCTTCTCGTGTAAGCAGGGACCCATATTCGCTAGCATGCTATTTTTATGGAGCCTTTGTTAAAAAGAGTTTTCTAAATTGCCAAATATTATTAGCGTTTCTGGGGAAGATTTGAAGGAAGAGGGACAGAGAACAATAACTGCACATCGAGAAAGCAGTTATTGAAAACTGCAGATAAACCAAGAAAGTGGGAGAAATTAGTATAGTCAGTTAAATGAGTAAGAGCAGTAACACCAAGGATTCTTGAGGGAAAAGTGACAGTATTCTAGTGTTTGAGTTATCTTCATCAAACGGAGAGCTCTTTTTTGGAAGTTCGAGGGTGGGTTGTTTTCTTAAAAATATGATACATTAACATCTACCTTCATCTACACCTGTCGCATCATCTAAATGAAACCTCGAGGATTTCCACTTCATTCCACTGAAAGCTTTCCCAACAAAGACAAAAAAACGCTGTCTAGGAGAAATTAGCCGCACCAAAATCTCGAAATTCTTGAAAACATGCCTATATCTTCTAAGCTGATTTTGCTCTTAACCAATGGAGTGAAGAATAAGCTTCAATGTCAAATCATGTAGGACACTGGGTAGCACAAAACATACCTTCACAGTGCTTACTGTGGACTGTATTTACTTCAAATTGAATACTTTTCCTGCTTCTCGGGTACACCAGAAATTATTTTAACAGTGATATTCACTGTTTGAAAATAAATCCCAGTTCTATTCTCAAACCAAGCAGGCTTTTCATGAATGTTCTCGTAAAATCAAACGAGAATAAGAAGTGCTGGGTTGTTCTGGTAATTTTAGACGAGGAGGGAAAAGTTAAAAAACCGAATTCAAATCCGAACCCGTCGAAACGTCGGACTTTGTGGATAAACAAGTAGTATGGTAACAACCTCGTGTGTGCTATCAGAAAAACAACGAATTACAAAATGGAACCATTACTACTCACTTGCTTGAATACTTGGACGGTCTGTCTTCACAAGTTGGGCGGACCCCAGCACATTTGCCATTCGTTCCTTCCCCTCACAATCGTCGTCCATGGTGGTGGTTTTATTTGAGCATAGTAGCGCGTGCAAGTCGCACACCGTGGGCTGTAAAACAACTGCAGCTGCGAGCACATCCAACTAACTTTGGTTAAGAACACGTCCGTCCAACGTGTAGGTGGGCGTCCTTGGTGACGCCTGCATTCCCGTAGAGCCCACTCCACAGTTCTTTTCGTCCACGTGTCGTCCGTTCTTCTTCTCATATCACCGGCCCATCTGTGTTTCGCTATCGACGTGTACTATTCTGATTCCCGAAGATGTGATAGATTTCATAGATCACTGCTTCTCATTCCAGCTGGATATTGAGAGTGCCGGTTATATTTCAGAAGACATCGCTCAAGCACTCTGTGAGTGGTGCGGAGTAATCTTGACTTGGATGAAGCATCAGTCCACGTCTCAGCAGCATAGCAGAGCGCTAAGAAGAACGAAGAATCGAAAAGGTGGGTGCGAATTTTTAGGTCCTTCAGTTGGTCGGTGGCTTCTTTGAGTGGTCCGAATGCGGTCCAAGCTGCTCTCCTACTTTTGTCGAATTCCTCCTTCATGTTGTTTGTCATGTTCATTGATCGCTCAAGGTATACGTACCAGTAGTCTCTTCAATCAAAGAACCATCCAGCTCAATTTTTTTTTGCCTTCGCACCATTGGTTTCTTATTGCGTAGTCCGACCGTTTTCCCGCTTTGTTGAGTCCATTGATCATCCTCTCTGCTTCGCTTGTATTTCTTGAAAAGGCGACGATGTCGTCGGCAAAACAAAGGTTTGATAGAAAATTTTTATCAATACGTGTGCTTTTTTTATCTGAATCAAGTGACCTCATTATCCACTGCAGTACGCCATAAAACAGCTCTGGCGATATTTTTTCGCCCTGTCGAACCCCTTTTCCTATGGGTATGGTAAGAGATAAAGCTGTATTTTCGTAGTGCATTTCCGATAGCAGTTAGACAGAGTTTGTATGTAGGACGGGTCCATTACTTGGTCGACGAGCGCTGATAGGGTTGCATTCGTTTCGACACTGTCGGACCTTTGTTCAAAGTCGACAAAGGTTAAGACCTGGCTTAGGTGGTATTCCCGACATACTTTGATAAACCTGGACACCAGTTTGGATGTGGTCCATGCAGCAAATTCCTTATCGAAATCATGCTTCCAATTCTCGAATTCCAAAATTCCGAATCCGAAAAAAAGCACTGATTGCGCCTCTCCCAATGTCCTCGATCTGTGTGAGAAGATAATCTCCATGAACAGCTTGTGGAGTACATTCAACAAGCATATCGGACAATAGTTACGACGTTCACTTCGATCTCTTTCTTAGACAAGATGACCGCGCGCAATGTCCTCCACTGGTCTGGGATTTTCTCTTTTTGAAGGTACGCTCTAATACGGTTTGCGAGAAGTACATGTGTCTTTGACTTTCTTGGCTTTCAGCTCTTAGGAAGTCCACAGCGATATCATCGAGTTTTGGAGCTGTACCTCTTTTCATGTTTTCTATCGCAACGCAAACCTCCGACGGAAGAATTCCAGCGGGCATTTTAGAGACCGACACGGGGATTGTGGAATGGAAAAGGTTGGTGTTTCCGTTATTCATTTCATATCATAGCAGGAAGCTTTGGTGATCCCATCTTCGTTCACCAGGGCAGATAGTGGACCACACAAATCTCGACGATATTTTTTCAGAATTGTTCCTTTCTCTACTGCTTCCAGTAGTTCTTCTCTCTGTACCAATGTAAATCTCCTTGTAAAGCTCTTCAGCCTTTTTTTGAGCAACTGTTATTGGTAATTGAAATGCGATGCGATCTTCCTTCATGGACAACTGAAGCCACTTGTGCACACCCTTTCAGTCCTTCGAGAAGAGGCTCGTAGACTTTGGTCGGGTCGTCCTCAATCTGCCATCCACGTTTGGATGGGATTTCGCGTCGATGACATGAATTCTTTCCCAGCTTGCGACTGAATCGAATGAGGAGGCCACCGATGCGTCTAATAGACACCATCTTCTATTTGTCGGAATATGATCGATCTTCGCATGAGTGGTTTCTTTAGGGGACATCTATACCCAACGGCGGCTTTCTTTCTTCTGGAAAAATGAGTTTCCATGGAAGAGAAGTGCTGCATACAGGAGTCCTGCAAAACGGTTTCCATTCCGATTTCTTTCTTCTAATCCAAAATTTCTAACCTTGTATTCGTTGTCGTTGGCCTTTCCTATTCTAGCGTTAAAGCCCCCAGCAACAAATTTATAATACCCTTCATTGTTGCGAATAAATTTCGAGAACTGATAGTAGAGCAACTCTAATTCATACTCAACAATTGCATCGCTCGGTGAATAGCAATTGAACATTACGATCTTTTGATGACGCATCAGTTGAAGGCGGAGGACGGCTATGCGAGGAGAATACATCTCGTAAGAGGCGACGAGACGTGCAATGGACTGGTGAATGACAAAGCCTACTCCACCGAACATTTCGTGACAAGACCTTTTCTCGGCGGATGGCAAGCGTCTCGATGTTTAGTTGGAGCATGTCGGTCTTTCAGACTTTTGTTTCTTGCAGTGCGATCACATTGAATTTTATGCGATTTTCAGCTTCAACAAGGGCGTAAAGATCGGCGTCTGTGGAATGTTCTGGCACTATGCGTGCAGAATAAGAAACAATCTCCTTGGGACCTCGTGAGTGTGTTCGTCAGATCCTGTTCCAGTGACCAGACAGCTTAACCCAAGATTTTCTGGCCTCTCGCCGGTCGTCTCACCGCCCGACGTCATAGACGGGAGCACCCAGTGTGCAGGGTACTGAGGCTGGCCTACTGCTGGTTGTGCAACTTGGTCTTCAGTCCTGACTTAACCTTGCAAGGGTGCATCCGTCTTCACGACGATGTGGACCTGAGGGAGATATGTTTTCAACGGCGAATCCTTCGCTCGGTCTTTCTACTAGTTGATTCGGAGAGATGTTAAAACCGAAATCAGAAACGAAAGTAGGAGTGAGAAAGTAACCGACCGCTCAAGGATGATGTAGAAACCGAACTCCAAAGAACAGAAGAATTACAAAGTAGAAAGTGCTCCTTGGATTCCAGTATAATCCAGACCTCATTTTTAGAAACTATTATAAACTGATTTTAATATATAATATTTCTTTAAAGCAGACTTCCGTTTAACCTCGGAACAACTGATATTGTCGTGAGACAACAAGCTAGCAAAGGGTTATTAGGAGACCTTATTCAGGTAATGTTTCCACGTTTTCGTCTTTTTCAGAGCCGGCTTGGTCCGAGTCGATTGTCCACGATGGTTGGTCCTTGCGATGTGGGGTCTTCGTTGTCGTGTAGAATCGAATCGCTCGAGGTGGAGTGCTGCTTGGATGAGGTGCCTCGTTCGGCGGTACCCTTTTATGCAGGACTGTTGTGATCTATTGTCATCCATTACGATCTGCTAATCTGAATCCATTATGGCAATGCATCCTGTAGAACTCACTGAATAATGAAAATTTATGCAAAGGTGAAATGAAAGTCGATTTCTAGAAATATTAATATGTTATGTGCCAGTCTTCCAACGATTTACTGCCTCATAATAGCTAGGAGGTGCTCGTAGGTGTCGGGCAGCGATGTACAGCGAGAATATTCATCTCTCCACCAGGGTCGTCCAGACCAAGAAGGAGTCCGACGTTTCCATTGGGAAGGTCAGCTAAGAGTGAACTAAGACCAGTATCCACCACTGTCCTAGTATCAAACTAGTCGCACGGTGGCAAATCCTCCTCTGATCCACAACGGCGGTGTTTGTCCGTGATGGTGACGAGCTGGGCCAGAATTTGGTCAGATTGACCTCGGGAATCCAGGGAACCAGAATGGCCAAGCCAGCAAAACTCCGAAATAATGGAAATTATGCTGGGGCTTGCACAACTAGTGGAGACGGGTCATCCAATTGTTCAAGTATATGCCAGCTGGTACAACAAGTTCTGCAGCATGGACTGCCACCGTGAAAGGTGATCCGCAGATCATTGTGTCATATTCAACGGCAGTATATCAACAACCATCATAAATAGAAAGAGATTGCTTGAGAGAGGATACACCATTCGAGCGCCGCTACCCCCTATCGAACTCGACGCGATACAACAACGAAGATCTATGTCGCGTAGGCGAACATTTTTGGCCAATTGACCCGAATCAGTTGGCTTCTGAAGAAGACAAGGCGTCGAATCGTTGCCCGAATAAAGCGTTACTTCAACTCTGTATTAGCTTAGTGATACAAAACAACATTGCATGTAGTAGTGCTGCTCTTATCATTATTGCCAAGAGTCCCTTATAGAATTTTACAGCACCACTTTTTATTTCATTATCCTCTGATGTCGCCTTAAAAAGATAGCCTACGCCAATTTTAGTATGAGTGGTTAAAGAAAACATAAGAATAACAGGAGAGAATTTGCTAAGCAGTTCTGATCTCGTCGTATTCCATTTCTCCAAACCTGGAAGCCTTAATGTTTGGCTTTTCTTTTCTTGAAATAAAGCGACAGTTTTTATTTCATGATGGAAAAAAGGGCTTGGAAATTATACAAGATAAACACCTCAGGTTCACACTTTCAGGTTAAGTAGTCGTGGAAACCGAATAGAAACAAGTGAAGGATGAAACGACAACCTTTCGGCGTTGCTCAATCATTAAGGAGGTACGCTCCGCATTCGGTTTCATCAAGGATCGTTAAAGGTGATTGAATACACAGCTGCTCTATGCAGTTCTTTGTGGTTACTTAGCGATGTGTCAAGTCAGTGCTGCTGTACTCCAAGACATGCCTGGTAGCGATTTGCCGTCTCCAAAGGGATGGAAGGCTTAGTGGGGCCGGGACGCGGGATCGAATCAACAATCGATTTAGCGTGTATTGAAAATGGAAACCGCCGAGAACTTCCAACCTACACGCGCTCCTTGAAAACAGGTATGAATGGTCATTAGCCACATGTTTCCTAACACCTTTCAATACGATGGGTTAAAAACTAGGCGCAACCTGTTTCATGAAAGCGAACTCCGTTATCGTACCAGTTAGAAATTCTTCCGATGAGTGTTTTAAAACAACATAAGAGTCTCGACAGATGAAAAAATAACGATTTAATGGAGAACACATGAAAAAGAGAGAGAGAGAGGGAGAAGGGCGAGCGTATGTTTTGGTTGTTACACTGTCTCCATTTTTGAAAAGGAAGAAAAAGAAGGCTTGAAAGGTAATGGTTCATCTTGGCTCATCAAGAAAAGGCAAAACAATTTGAAAAAAAAGCAAACAGTTCGGGTGAAAAATAGTGACAATTGTACCGGAAGAGCTAGAGATTTAGTGATGTAGCAGTCACCCTGATATTGTACTAATTCAGTAGTAAGTGCTCTTTGGAGCTCGCATGGGCTTTAGGACAAAACGGAGTCACTAGAGGAACGCATGATGGACAAGAAGCACTATCAAGCTTTAAAAATACTGCACCACAAAAACCACCTTCACCTGCGAATTTGAAATGCAGCTGTGCAATTTCACATACTTTTCTGGTTACCATAAAACTTTCGGTGATCAGGATGAGTTTCTAGATTCTGGGAAGAGTGAGAGTCAGAAAAAAACGATGCTGAAGAATTTATAGCTGGAAAATTCCTTAAGTTTCAATATTTTATCACTTCATACAAATGGTTTTAAAAACAGAAAAGCTTTTTTATTTATTTTAAAACATAGTGATGCAAAAACAACGTGACTATAGTGCTATACAATTCTGGGAGCACGTGTAGCGCAGTGGTATCAGGCATTCTGAAGTATGTGTTCGATCTAGCAGCCCAGGCTCACCAATCCTTCCATCCCTCAGGGTTCGGCAAATTGCTACCAAACTTGTCAGCCAGGATAGCAATAGCACTAACTCGATACATCGGTAAACTACTGTGAGTCATTGCAAAAGTCAGATATGTATTCATTTACCTCCAACGATGCTTAGTGAAGTCGAAGCCATGGCGCATCCCTCAAGAATGAATCAACGCCGAGTGATTTGTTCATTATCTTTTTATTAAATTCTTGCTAACAAAAAATAACAAACACACTACGGCCCACTTGTGTCCATTTAGTCCCCTAGATGTCCCGGTATTTTTTTAAAATTTTTGGCTATTTGAGCTGATTTTTGCCTGTGAGCTGATATTTAACAGGAGTTTGCGATGGCTAAGAACTGCGGACGAACCCTCGTGCTCTCTAAGTCTGCGATTTTATTCGCCTAACTTTTGCGCTTACATATGAAGGATTAATGTGGTCAGAAAACGACGATAGCACGTGATTTAAAGATTTTTTGTTACAGCAAAATCAAATTGCAAATTGAAAGAGATTGTTTTAATAAGCCTTTTCATAAAAGACCATGACTTCACGGTTATATTGTCCATTCATACTGTATACTGTTACTGGAAAACGCATTTCTATTCAAATCAAAAGAAGCGTACTAAGCGGAAACTTTGATAGGATCCCAAGGATTTCGCCTGAATTCAAGTTAATCAGTTAGCGCGTAAAATTCATAGAACATAAAAGACAAGGTGTTCGACGTGTATCAATTCCTGAGGGTGCACCATGCATTCGACTCCATTCGGAACCGTAGAAGTGCTTAATTCCATATATGGCCTAAACAATGGCTTGCGCCGGCCTATCATTTCAAATATCTTAGATTGGAGATTTGCCATCATGTGACTAGTTTGATACCAGGTCGGTGATGGATCCTGGTATGGATTTATTTTAGCTGAACTTCCTGATGAAATCGTTGGACTCCTTCTCAGCTTGGGAGAGCCTGCTGAGGGTTAATCCTCCTGCTGCACATCGCAGCCCGACATCCAGGAACATCTCCCAGTCACGATGAGGTGGTGAACCGTTGGGAGGCATGCGCATATCGCAGCAATCAAATTTTGAAGGATATTGGAATAGTCAAGGGGCTGGCAGTGCACTGTTAGCGATTCCGTTCATCACGAGCACGGTGTTCGTTCGACGCTTCTATAGACCCACCAAGCTTTTCATCCATCAGTAGTCCAGAAATTGGCACCAGATTTATCCGGAAACAGTTCACTCCGTGTAGTACAAGTAAGAATGTCTTAACCTGGCTATCTTAGGACTCCAGAAAGAAAAGGATTGACCGACATACAACGACATTCATAACGAAGACGGAAATACCTTCCTGGATTTGGATTGTTGAGTTTACGCGGTGTTGTTATGCAAGTTTTATTCAGCTAACGTTGCAATGTTTTCGTCTTCATCGGAGTCGACGATTCGAATCGACGCTTAACAGTTGTTCGTCTTCTCGACGTGGCATCGTCGTCGTCTTAATGAGACGGGTGTTCTTCAGTGGAGCACCGCACTAATGAGGTGTGTTCACCTGGCAGCGCTCTTTTATACAGAACGGTTTGTTTGCTATCACCATTCGTTGATACGAATTTGCTTTTCAACGGGTAATCCATCCTGTAGCAATCGGTACTATGCTAGCTAGTGCACAACGAGTAACGTAACAGACGGAAACGAAAAAAAAGGGCGGAAATCACAAACAGCAGCCGAAAAGGCGCGAAAAGTTCTAGGACCATCGTGGATGATGGGTGCGAGGAAAAGAATCGAATACAAGAAGTATAAACTCTATAATGCCAAACTCGTTTTTGCTCATTGAAAAAAAAACAGTATGAAATGCTGAGATATTTGTAAAACAG